GGACTCCAAAATTTTGGGTGTAGTGTTGGTCGTTGGTTGAGTTTTTGGGATCAGGGGTAGGTTGTGGTGCATTTTGGGAAGTGTGGTAGGTGGTGGGTTATGGATACTGGGTTGGATGGTGATGATGTTGTGGAGGGGTAGTTACTGGTAGAGGATTAGTATTTTGAGAGGGCGTGACATACTGATGAGGCGTGAGAGGGTTTTGTTGGTTTTATGTGTTCTGGGAAGGTATAAGGTTTTGGGCATTTTGTTGGTTGACGTCGGGGACATTCAGGTTAAGGGAAAGGTTTGTCAAGTTCCGGATCTACTCAAGTTCCCCTTTTAGCTCCAGTATCTTTTGTTCCAACTATAAAAACCAAGTCATTTTGTGTCGGAGTACTCTGACCATCCGAAGTCTCGACATTCTCTGCATGCGTAGCATTGTCTTTCCTGATACCACTCGCATCATCCATTCTGGATTTTCCCTTGATTTTAGGATCACTTAGAGGAGGAGGACCTCTAGATCTGGTATAATATGCTGATGATTCTAGTATGCACGAACCAATAGGGGATGGAAATAAACAAAAATAGATAAAAGAAGAAAACAAAAAAGGTAAACAAGTCAGTGAGGAGTATTAAAAGGATGTTTGCGGTAACACATATTGCAGAATTATAAATTCGTGTCCTAATTTGGGGACCTCATTATGCCCGATGTAGGCCTAAGTGACATATAAATTTGGAGAAAATCGATGCCAATAACTACGTCATTTCATTAATATGATAAATAAACCAAATCTCTACTAGAACGACAATAATTATAAAGAGTCACTAATAGCATTTGCCTTATTACAACCAAAGTCTAAAACGAGTCTAGAAAGCAAGTAAACATATCATTCCTAATCTATTAGGTCCTAGATGGACCTTCTCCATGCTTGTCCTTCTTTGCTCCATCGATCAGACTCCCCAGGTCGCGCATGTCCAACACCAAATACGCCCTTTCTAGGAACCCTCCTTCATTGCCATCCATGTTTTGACAGCCTGTAACATTGTTTCTTATCTTTCCTTCAAGCTCCATCAACCCCAGTTCTAAATATTCCAACCTCTCTGTTGACTTAGTAGCAATTTTTCTCCACTCATTAAGTGCTTCCATATCCATTTTATGTTATTCCAAATGCATGGCTTCGGACTCGAAAACCCTTTTGTGCAGCATCCTGTATTTGACTTGTGCTTCAGCAGCGTCATCTACAACCCTATTCTTTAGATTAATCCCTGGCTTGACATCCCCCGCTATATCATCTACCAACCATGATGGATAGAAATGCTCATGGCCGACATGATACCGATCTTGCTCGATGTTATCTTTCTCCACAATGACCTTTTAATGCCACATATCTTGTGCCTCGAACTTGAATGGAATGGTGTTCCCTTAGAAGTCTGTCTTGTACTGAACCATTTTGGAAACTTATGGTATAACCTGCTTTCTCCCAGCTTGTCTCATAACACTGATAGGAGCATAAAGATAGATCCCCCTTAATCCGATTAACACTAGATGAGGAGCATCTCTCAACCTAATGATGAATTCACTGCTAGAGAACCACTCGAACATCCAATGTACTTTGTCATCAGTCAGATTGCTGAAGAAGTGTGCCCAGCTCACAGCATTTTTCAGTTGCGCAAACCTGTTTGGGATAAAAGTCATTCTCTTCGGATGGTGATAGGCTATGTGGTCATTCCATGGTCGTCGCGGAAGTTCTTGACTGTATTCTCCCCTCTGAAGGTGTTCTAACAACCATACTTGCAGCAACAGATTGCAACCCTCGAAATGCCTATACCCTTTTTGCAACGGTTTAAAGCCTGATACATATCGACCAGAATCATAGGGACAATAGTGTAAGTTTGCCCCTCAATCCCCTCTATTAAAGCCTTAGTGACCATAGCTAGGCGAGTATGGATCCTTTCTCCTTGTATTGGAAATACCAGCATCCCAGAAAACAGACAATGACTATGAAAACTGGGTGGTGAGTCCAACCAAAGATGTGATGGCAAACTCTTTGAGATTCGGTAGTGCTCATGTACTCGTTGACATTAGATCATGGGGATGATTGTAGTTGTATTATTTTTTTTCTCAGATATTTTATGATATTACCGTTGTTGAGGTTATTAAGCTTATGTTAATTTAGTTATTGTTATTGTGCAATGGATGGCTTGCCTAGCAAGAAGTGTTAGGCGTCGTCACGGTTCCGGTGGGAGTTTAGGTCGTGATAGTCTCACTCAATTGAATGATGTATTATATTCGTTCATTATAGATTCAATACCATAGAGACATAGGATTGATATATTGTGAATAGATGAGTAGTATTGCGGGAGCATGCTAGTCATATACATGATCTGGTCAACTAGCAACTATAGATTATTCGAATTAACGGGTGTAATTACGACTCAATAAGATTGATAACCCGACCACAACCCTTGAATCTTCATCTCAATTGGTTAAGAAAATTACAGACACTTGCGTTCTTATTAGTTTGGCTAAGTAGTTGTTTAAATTCTGCAATATTAGTTTGGTCATAACCATTACTCTTTGACAACAGTAAACAGATAATAAATTTTTGTTTGCTTAGGTAGCAATTAATATAAGTCTCTATGGATTCGATATCCTTCGAGTTACTTTACTACTTGTGGACCATGTATGTTTTATGTGTGCTTTAATAACTAACAAGTTTTTGACATCGTTATCAGAAACTAACCTAATCTAACTTTATACAATAGATAGCAATTCGGTTTTTTCTCGAATAAATATGGATAAGTATATAATGATTTTGATTTTAAAATGGATAAAGAGAAACAAAATAGACACTTATTTTTATGCGGGGCAAAAACTGATTTGAGTTGCGAATGATTTAAGTCGAACTATTTACATGAAAATTGAAATGATTAGTTCACCTATATATTTGGTAAGAGAAAGAGGAGGTCCCTTTTTCTTAGTTTGAGTTTAAAAAAATAGCAGCAAGTGTCATTTCATAATTAAGTGTAATGTAGAATCATTTTATAGTGATGTAAATTCATTAACTCAACTATATACAAAGCTGAGGAAAAAAAATTAAATTTCGAACGTATGTAAGGAAACATTATATTGATATACACCTAACGTTCATGTGTTGGTTAAAATATATATTGCTATAAAAATTGAAATTTTTTCAAGCTAAAGAACAAATATCTTCAAAGAAATTCATTGGTCCAATAATAATACTCTAACTTACCTTCTATATATAGTCTTCTAATAAAGTTGTATGATTCGATCAAACTCTGGATCACCCGTCCAGTTTACCTTACTTTTGCACATAAGGGAAGAGCCGCATGAGGTAAAAATCTCACTTAAAGTTCTGGAATGGAGATTCTTTCAATTGAATGACGATCGTAATGGATGTCGGCTCAATCCGAAGGAAATTACGCGGAAGCTTTGCAGAATTATTATGAAGTTATACGACTAGAAATTGATCCCTATGATCGAAGCTTGGGGATATCAAAAGAAAGGGAGTCTCACTAGTTCTTTTATTGTGAATATAGATATGTAATTCCCCTCCGATAAAAAATGACGAAAGGTTAATTTGTTTATCCGCAATTGAAAAAATCAATATCAATTGGATCCGTTAATATGCATATTTTATATCATCTGCTTAAAGGAGAGATGATGGCCACTTTCCAGGATTTGACAAAAGAATAAAAAAAAATCAGGGCATTTGCATCGATACCCGCTTTTTGGGTCATATTTTAACTTATACCCGCTTTGCAAAAAAAATTGCAAATGTACCCTTTTTATGCGTAACTTCAGGCATACGGGCCTGAAGTAGCAAAGGCAATCACGCAAACTTCAGCATTCTAGTAGACGGGCCTGAAGTAGCAAAAATTGTTTAACCAAGTGTTGGCTGAAGTTTTTGTTTGTAATTGCTGAACTTAGCATTCTATTAGCTGAAGTTTTGTTCTCTATTTGCTGAAATTTTTGTTTGTAATTGCTGAACTTAGCATTCTATTAGCTGAAGTTTTGTTCTCTATTTGCTGAAATTTTTGTTTGTAATTGCTGAACTTAGCATTCTATTAGCTGAAGTTTTGTTCTCTATTTGCTGAAATTTTTGTTTGTAATTGCTGAACTTAAGCATTCTCGAAGCTGGAGTTTTATTCTCTATTAGCTAAACTTCAGCATGTTTTAGTTAAAGTTTTGTTTGATATTTGCCGAACTTCAGCATTCTTAGAGCTGAAGTTCTAAAACAACAATAACAAGTTGTTATTAAGATCCAGTTGCTATAATGGAATTATTAGGAAATTTCAAAAGCAATACTCCTATAAAACAAGACCATTAGTAAAAGTAACAGCTTTCAATTGTTGAACATTGGGAGAAAGCTAAAATGGGAGAAAGCTAAATACTGGACATAGCAGCAGCAACAGCAGCAACAGAAAGTTCATCCATATGAACTGAAGTTTCATAGCAGCACCAACAGTAGTAGTAGTAGTAGAAGAAGAAGAAGAAGAAGAAGAAAACGAAGGAGGAGAATGAGGAGGAGAAAGAGGGCTGAACTTGTTTAAAAAGTGGATACAAGTTTAAAAAATTTTAATAATTGAGTATAGGTTAAATGTGGGCGACCAAATAGGACGCTCCGTGCAACTTTTACAAAAAAAAATCCCATTGGTTCAGACAAAACTTCAATTTCTCCCTTCTATTAACTGATGATGAGTTCCACAGCTGCAGTTCTCTCAGCATGAAACTTCTCACCAAAAGTACAAACTTATCCATCCCGTAGCCAATAATATCCTTCCACATCATCAATAGTGGGTTTCAAACAGAATCCTTTGACCCAACGCCCTTGAGCCAAGGGTGAACCCAACTTTCGTGCAGCTATCCGAATCTAAAGAAAGATTGTAGTATTACTTTCAGAAAAAGGTCAGTATATAAAATTTGTGGCTGAGAAAATAATTGTGTGATGACGTGGCATCCTAAAACCCCCCACGCTGTCATTTTTTTTAAACCCCTAATCAAAATCACAGTCCTCGACCATGCCAACAAGGCCTTAAACCTTTTCACAGTTCTCAGTTTTCAAACAGTTTACTTCACACATCGAATCTCTGATCTTGATTTTCCGACGACTCGCCGGTGACACCTTTTCCTATGACTAATCCACCACTATTACGGAAGGACCCTTTAAGTTTCTTCTTTTATTTTTTAACTGGAAGCTCTGATTCTCCGACGACTACTCAAATACTACTAGAAAAGAGACTTTATTTTATTTTTTTTAACTTTTAAATATGTGGGAATTGAAGGATCCAGAGAGTAAGTTGTTTGGCAAGAAGATTGCTTTGCCGGAGAACGAAAAGGTGCTGCCTTTGATTATCTCCGGCGAAGATTCCGGCGACGGGAACTCTGGAAATGCTAGCTATGGTGTTACAATTAGCGAGACGATTATTGGGTCTGACTGTGATAGATGTTTAGAGGATGAGAAAGCAAGCAGTGAGGAGAAAGATGAAGAAATTCAAGAAGCTGAAAAGGTACAGTTCCAAATAATCCATTTTGCAATTGATGGTCCAATGTTTACTTTATGATTTTTATTTCTTTTGCTTAATTTGGTTAAGAATTTTTAAAATAAGACTTTTTCTTCTTCAGTGTTATTGTTTTCCTCTCTTGTTTTGTTTGCCTTTTATTCTTTTTGACATAGTATTGATTCTGTCAATCAGACAACAATCCAAAAACTCCTAATATTGATGAAGATTCACCTGCATTAAAAATCTCCAAGACTGAAAATGATCCGAACGATGCATCAAATTCTCAGCAGAAACCTCTTAAGAAGCCAAACAAAATTCTCCCATGCCCCCGTTGTAATAGTATGGATACCAAAGTTTGCTACTATAACAATTACAATGTCAACAAGCCTCGACATTTCTGCAAGAGCTGCCAGAGATATTGGACTGCTGGCGGTACCATGAGGAATGTGCCTGTGGGAGCTGGTCGTCGCAAGAATAAAATTTCTGCACCGCATTGTCGTCAGATCACAATCCCTGAAGCCCTCCAAGTGGCAAGAATCGATCCTCCAAATGGATTTAATCATCCAACGTTCAAACCAAATGGTACTGTACTATCCTTTGGGCCTGACTCACCTCTTTGTGAATCTATGGCTTCTATTCTAAACCTTACAGAGAAAAAGGTAGCAAATGGGATTCATAACGGTTTCTACGGACCTGAAAACAAGAACTCCTTTCGCAAAGGTGGAGAAAATGGGGATGACTGTTGTAGTGGATCTTCAGTCACTACATAAACTTCAATGGTCGATGGAGGCACTCATAGGCGCAATGAGGTAGTCGTTCCAAATGTAAATGGCTTCGCACCTCTAGTTCCTTGCATACCCGGCGTTCCTTGGCCTTACCCATGGAATGCTGCAGTTCCTCTTCCAGCTATCTGCCCGCCCGGATATCCATTGCCATTCTGTCCTCCACCCTACTGGAATTGCAATATGCTTGATCCATGGAATATTCCCTGGTTGACTCCACCCTCGCCAACCGAGAACCCAAAAGGGTCAGGATCTACTCTTAATTCACCTTTAGAGAAGCATTCAAGGAAAAGGGACTTGCTTAAATCAAACAGTCCCAACGAGAAAGAACCATCGGAGCAAAAGAATTCAGAAACGTCTGTTTTGGTCCCAAAAACTTTGCGTATTGATGATCCTGATGAAGCTGCAAAGAGTTCTATATGGTCAACTCTAGGAATTAAATACGACTCCCTTAGCAGGGGAGGTCTTTTTAAGGCCTTGCAACCGAAAAGTGATAAAAAAGATCATACTGCCACAACATCTCCAATGTTGCAGGCTAACCCTGCATCCTTATCTAGGTCCCTCAGCTTCCAGGAAAAAGCCTAAAGTGAGTTAGAAGCTATGCAGCCCTGTGAAATACAGCTTTTAGTCAGTTCACCTGCCGAAAGATGCCGGCTAGTTTTCCTACCTGATGGTTGCTTAATCACGATACGCGTATCACTAAGAGAGGCTAATATTTTTCAAGTCCTCCAACAGAAGCAGGGAATGATTTCGGAAGCTATTATAGACAGAAGTAAGTATCCTTCTTTTGTAACACTAGGAGCGAGCAGCTACCTTGGTTTTACTTGGTTTGTGTTCTTCAATGTATATAACATTATACAGCTGACCATTAGAAAAGGAAAGAGAGAGATTTGGATGCACCAGATGTCAAATGTGTAATTGCCAAAAGTAGCTTGGAAAGCAGCTCCATCTTTCCATTTTCTTGGTGATCTAAATAATACTTTAGCCTTTTCAGATTATGTGTTTAACTTTTGATGTTGTTATACGAGTGTGCCTCTTCTTGATTTGTTTCAAAGAAGACATCATGAAGGCTTGAATATCAACAGGAAGGTCTTATAAATAAAAACTCATGAAATATTTTTAAAATAACTCCCAACTGCAAAGATATGCTGCATGAACTGCTTAAGATAGGCAAAAGCTGGGACTCAACTGAAATAGCATAGGAACATCTAAGGGTGGAATCTGGCCTAACGATCAATGAAGTGAGTGAAAAATATAGGAGACTATGGTTCAATTTCCAACAACAATAACAACAACAACAACGAACCAAGTGTATTCCCATAAATGAGGTCTGGGGAGGGTAGTGTGTACGCAAACCTTATCCCTATCTTATAAAGATAGGGAGGTTGTTTCCGATACACCCTCGGCTCAAGGCGCAGTGGAGATAAGGCAACAAGTATGGTTCAATTTCCAACATCGACAAAAAATGTTAAATGATTTGTTTTCATCTATGTAAAACATGAGGACAGAGTTACCCGACTTGTGCTAATTAAAGTTAATAGGTACCCGAAAAATAATTAAGGTGTGCGCAAATTAAACCAAATACCGTTGTTATACATAATGTTGTATGGTGGGCGGGCTGGGACCAGACCGGGCCCGCGGTCCTAACGGGCTAAACGGGCCTGGCGGGCCGGTCCTTAATGGTGCAAAAAGCCCGCGGCGGGCCGGGTCACATTAAATAGCCCATGAGCCCGGGATCGCTAAGCCCGGGATCGGCTGGTGGGCCTGGGCCGGTCTTACCGGGCCTTTAACGGCTACTTTCGGTCAAAAATTTAAAAAGTAGCCGTTGGGCTGCAATTTTGACCGTTTGGAACTTTCAAAAATAGTCATTTGGCTCCCAAACTTTATTTTAACCCCAAACTTTATATAATTACACTTTTTTCCAATTCTCAATTATAAATACCCCCTCATTCTTTCATTTTTACTCACCAATTCATCAATCTCTCTCAATCTCTCTACTATAATTGCTTATTTTATTGTTGAAATTTCGTGAAAAATTGTGAAGTT